TAATAAGAAATGCGCACGGCATCACCTTCGTGTTTTTACTCTCTTTCCTCACCATATAACCAATATAATCGGCACGGAATGGTACATCGTGCAGCACGGCATCACCCTTCATGCTTTACACTCTTTCCTCACAAATCATACACGGCATCACCCTTCGTACTTTACACTCTTTCCTCACAAAAATAATACACGGCATCACCCTTCGTGTTTTAACTCTCTTCCTCACCCAAACAACAATCATAAACAATAGGGAAAGGGATAAATGAAATTACAATAAGAGTCCCGACAAGGGAACAACAATTCAACAATTAAGTCCCGACGAGGGAACAACATCAACATCCCGGCAAGGGAGATACAAATAAAGAAACAATGTCCCAGCAAGGGAGACAACATAAAGATCTCTTCTCTTTCTCACTTTTACTTCACAATTCACTTCACAACTCGAGCCAATGCTCTAAAGGTTCAATTATCACTTATACCTTTATAATTCGTTATACAACTTGAGTCAACGCTCCTCGATGTTCATATGTCACAATTCCTTCCACAAACTTTACACAACACATAGAAACCATCACCAAGGCATGAAACAAAATACAACGAAGTCATGATAATCACAATATAAAGACTCACGGGCATGCTAGACACCAATGTATAGATACTCGCCACCATGCCTATATGTCGTACTCAACAATTACCACATAGAAAATAGGACTCGACTCCTAATCCCTCAAGCTAAGGTTAGACCAAACACTTACCTCGATGCCACGAACACAATTCACGTTTCAATTATAGTTTTACCCCTTGGTTCCACCACCAATTCGATCGTATCTAGTCACAAGTTACTTAATTACATTAATAAATGTTAAATGAATCAATTCGAATGTATGAAAATGAATATCCCAAAGTTTTACCCAAAAAGTCAAAAATCGCCCCCGGGCCCATATGGTCAAAACCCGAGGTTCGAACCAAAACTCGATTACTCATTCCCCCACAAACCCAAATATATAATTTATTTTGAAATCGGACCTCAAATCGAGGTCCAAATCCTCAATTTTTTGAAAAAAACTAGGTTCTACCCAAAACACCCAATTTCTCCCATGAAAATCATTGATTTTGAGTTGAAATCATGTTAAAAGATGTTAATTATTGAAGGAAATGAGTTAAAATCAACTTACAACCGATTTGGAAGAAGAGTTGTTCTTGAAAAATTGTCCTTGGGAGTTTGTGTTTTGAAAAGATGTGAAAATGGGTTAAAAATTCGTCTAAGTATAAAAGTTGTAGGTTGCAGATGTGGGAAATACGAATTGCGAACCCCGACCTCTGATACGTTGGGAATTGCGAAAAGACTCTCACATTTGCGAGTTGGGAATTGCGAAAGGGGCGTCGCATTTGCGACTACAGGCTGGGAGAAGGGGCATCGCATTTGCGTTGGATTTCCTCGCATTTGCGAGATGGAGCTGTCCTGGGCTTCCTTCACAATTGCGACAAGCCACTCGCATTTGCGAGCCAGGCTTCGTAAATGCGAAGCCTGCAGGCCTGCTATGCACATCTGAAAATCTGCAATTTTTCTAAGTCCAAAATACACCTCGTGGCCTATCCAAAACTCACCCAAGCCCTCGGGGCTCCAAACCAAACATACACACAACCTCAAAAACATCCTACGAACTTATTCGTGTAATCAAATCACCAAAATAACATCATGAACATCGAATTAAACCTCAAAATCAATGAAATTTCTCAAAACTTCTTTAAACATCAAATTTTGCATTTAAGGTCTGAATCACGTCAAATGAACTCCGTTTCTTACCAAACTTTACTGACAACACATATAAATCATATTGAACCTGAACCGGATGCCGAAACCAAAATACAGGCCCGATACTATCAAGTTTTAATCAAAATTCATTTCCAAACCTTATAAATAATTTCAAAAAATAATTTTCTTTAAAAATTCAATTTCGGGCACATGCTCAAGTTCCATATTTCCCTACGGACCTTCCGGGACCGTCAAATTATAGGTCCGAGTCCGTTTACCCAAAACATTGACCGAAGTCAATTTAATTCATTTTATAGTAAAAATTTATCATTTTCACATTTAGGCTTTTCGGCTACGCGCCCGGACTGTGCATGCAAATTGAGGTGAGCCAGAAAGAGGTTTTTAAGGCCTTGGAACGCAGAATTCATTTTAAAAATAAGTGATGACCCTATTACGTTAATATAGATTTTCCTATTACGTTAATATAGATTTGTTGTAGTATTTTCTCTATTTGTTCAACTACGTTATTATTGTGGTTGATTGAAGAGCTCTCAATCGACTGTGCCTATTTAGTATGTATTACTCGGGAGAGAGTGCATACTTAGGTAGTTGTTGAACAACATCACTCCTAATGTATATGAGAGATCAATACGGAGGGTTTAAAGGTGAGATTAGGGATAACGAAACTTTGGTGCGATCCGAGTGAGCCGTACTTAACGCCAGCTAGCGTAATTCGGGAGAATATGTCTAGTAAATTGTGGTAGTTACTCGAGAGAGGATTACAACACTCAGAGTGCTCATGATCAGTAGAGAAAACTTAGGCAAATTTATAGAAAATGTAGCGGAAAGGATTCCGACAATAGGGAAAATCATAACTTTAGACCTCCTTAATCTTGTCTCAAATCCTTATCCTTGTTAATTGATAGTTTTACTGCTTTCTAGTATTTGTTAGTTAATTAGTTAGAAATAAATATTATAATCTTTATAATTCGAAAATTGTTTGAACTTGTGTTTCTTAGTAATATTGAACAACTATAGCTATGCCTTAGTTATTTGTGGGATTCGACTCCGAACTTGTAAATTAGATTATATTTACAACGACCGCTTAGTTCTTTTTATAAGGCATAATTGGGCGTTATCCGATTAAAAGAAACTGTTGAGCTTTTATATGGTAGTAGACTAATTTAAACACAAGTGAATCAACGAAAATATAAATTTAAAACAACACATCTACATGCACTAATAAAAGTAGTATTACACACGCTATAATTTGTTAATTATGTGTGTATGTATACACATATATCATTGTATTACTTTTGACACCTTTTGTCCAAATTAGTTGACTCCCTATTTTCTCCAATTAAAAGTGCGAAACTTTAAATATGAAAAAAAAAAATCTATTTTCCATCTCTTTTGCAAAATAAAAACATGTGTTTGTATTAATTTTTACACCTTTTATCAAAATTATTTGACTCCCTTTTTTCTCCAATTAAAAGTGAGAAAAAGTCCATTGTCCTATCTCTTATGCGAAAGAAGTTGGGTGGATGATGAACTATATAATCACGTTCGTTATTTCTATAGTAATAGCAAGCAATTTGGTATGCTGATGCAATTACTTAAAGAAAGAGAAGAAGAAAAAAAAAAAAAAAGG